CATCAAAGGGGCTGCTGCTCTTCTCATCACCCTCCCTCCTTCTGTCTTTCTATATGTCTCAGTATCCTTTACCCCCTCACCTCTGTCTCTGTTTCCTTTTATACACAGGTCTCCTTTACTACTGATGTTAAAAGTGTCTCAAGGAGAAGCTACCTAGAGTTTTAGTGCACTGAAAAAACTGAAACGTTGACTTTAAGTAAATGTTGTCAACAGATTTCACATAATAGGTTCAACTTAATATCATTGCTTTTATCTAACCTAAATACAGTTATGTGAAATTTGTTGACATAATAAATGTATTAAAGTCAATATTTCAGTTCATTCAGTGTGTCCCAACTGGTTGTTTTTGTGCACTGAAAAAACAGAAAAGTTTACTTTAATTAAATGTATTATGTCAAAAGATTTGACATACTTGTAATAGGTTAGTTGAAAGCAATAATATTACGTTTAAATAAAAAATACGTTCAACTTAAAATTATTGCTTTCAACTAATCTAATACAATTATGTGTAATTTGTCTACATAATACATTCAATGTTGCAGTTCTTTCAGTGTGTCCAAATACACTGAAACGTTCACTTAAATAAATGAATTATGTAAACAAATGACACATAACTCTATTAGGATAATTGAAATCAATACTATTAAGTTTAAATACAAAATAATAATTTCAACTTAAAACAATTGCTTCTCACTAACCTAATACAATGATCTGGAACCTGTTGACATATTACATTTAGTTAAAGTCACTGTTTAATTTCTTCAGTGTGTGTTCTGTTCTGCAGGGCGTCTCCTGCAGCTGTACCTGAAGTTATTTGTAAAAGTTATTTTGCCAGTGACTAACCCCACATGTGGGACGTGACTAATAACAGAGATGGATCAGAACACAGGGCAGTCAGGTCAGGCGTGGTTGTTATATATTTGTAGGGCATGTGGTTACCTTTGTGTAAGTCAAAAGTGTAAATGCTTGCCAAACTGGTCTCCCCAGAACGCTGAACACCTCCAGTCCCCACCCCCACCACCCAAAGCCCCACAAAAATGTCAGGTATGTTTTGAAGAAGCTCCAGGCCCTGCGGACAACTGAGACGGGGGATTTGCATGAAGCAGAGTTTTGGGCGAACCCCCTGTGAAGCACACATGCGGTGTTTTTGAGCGGCAACGGTTTGTGCACATGTTCACGGCTGCACCAGTAAACAGTCAGTCACAAGGAATGGCATTGTGAATTCTCAACTCTGGATTTTCCCTCTTAATCACTGATTGCCCGGTGACTGCTGCATGTCTCATGTCTCCAAGAAGATAATCTACTAAAATGGATAGCATCTGTTTCCTTTCTTCTCTGCACACACTGTTGGTGGGTCAGATTCCAAAATTAAACTGAAAAAATGTCAAAATGCATTTGATTTGATTTCCAAGTTACTTTTACTATTCTTTACCCATTTTGTCGGTATATTCCAACTCCATGTGACTTACTTTTACCTTGCCAATTGTATTTTTAGCTAAATAATTCCAACTTTTCCTTAAATCATACAACAAACTTGCTAAAAAAGGGTTTATTTACATACATAGCTTGAACTTGAATGGTGTTAGTGGCCCATAGTGACCCCAGTGAGTCTTGCCTGTTAAATCCAGGGCTACCCTCTACTGGATTTTCGAGGGACTGCAGAATTGTTCCTGTACTCCTAGAAGTGTGTAAATGTGGACACATATTTGCAGGAACACTGGGGCACTCATTAGCAGAGCTTCCTAATTCCTGAACCTGCTAATTAGAAAGCTAATATTGCTTCTAGCCTTTTTCATGTCATTAATGATTAATGTTACATACTGTATGAACTAAATGTGGAGGCAGACTGTTGTTTCTCGGCTGACACAACTGAATTGAAAAACTGCTTATCAGGGCATATACATATAATATTTATATATAATAAGTCAGCGGAGAGTTGTACTATTCTAAACCTCAATGATTAAAGTCCTACATTGAAGAGAAAAGATGAGCACATTCTTTGAAATTCAAGTGGTTAATTTACAAGGAAAATAACTGAATTCTTCGAGAAAACAAAGTACATATACTCTAAGATTAAAGTGCAAAAATCTACCATAAAAAAACTGGCATATTCTCGAAGTTTATAAAGCCATACATTTTAGTGAAAACAATCAGGAAAATCAGGTTGAAGTAAAAACTGTTAGGGTTTTTACAAATACTACATTACTTCACCTCGCACATTTTTTTCAAAATCAGAAATCAATCAGTCATTTTTCTTCTTCATTTACAAAACATGTCATATGATAACTAACATTAATGCAGACATTGTGGAGGGGTAATAACCTATTCAATGCTATAACAAGTGAAAAGCTGTAGGAGTACTTCATGACGATGCCACCAAAGCAAGGATTGTTTGACTGTTGTGAGTCAGTACAGTATCGGTGAGGGTGGTTGGGGGGGGACTGCTGCTGAGGTCGTTCTGGTCCACAGAAACCCACTCTGACCTGTGAATGGACACATTGTGCAGCACGTGGACAGGGTCTCTGACCTCAGAGCAGTCTGCGTACAGGACACACACAGGCTCTTTGTTTGCAGACACACAGTCCCTCCCTCACATCACTCACTCTGCAGCAGGACTATGAGTCTTTCAGACCAGCAACAACTGCCAATATTGACTCAGGAAACTAATTAAGAATCGCCTTTTGGGCCTGTTCAGCCTTTTGATACCTATTATCAGGAGTTCAACTTGGATTTTGTATGTGGTCCTTTGTAGACAGGGCTGAGAGCCACCTGTACCAAGCCCACCGCCTGCAGGTCGCAAAGGTTATCGACAGAAGTGATGTCAAAACATCTCTCACACTCGCTGATGTCTGGGACTTTTTCTCGATGTACTATACTATGACTTTTTTCACATTTCAGACTTTCTATGACTTTTTCATGACATACTATACTTACATTTTTCTCACAACACATTGAAAATACAATACTGTGACTTTTTTCACGATATCTACAAAATACTATACTAAGGCTCCGTCATACTGTACTGTGACTTTTTTCATTTTTTTATACATACTATCAGAGGACTTTTATCACATATTATATTGTATTGTATTGTATTTTTCTTTCGACATACTATACAATTACTTTTTGTATATTTTGGCATACTATACTCTGTTTTTCTTCCTGATATTTTCAACATACTATACTATGTGTTTTTTTTGTGAATTTTGTCAAACTATACTATGTGTTTTTTTCTATAATGTTTTTGGACATACTATATACTTTGACTTTTCTTTTGTCAAACTACACTATGTGTTTTTAAAAAACGTTTTTGACACATTCATGTCGGCTGTGTATAGCTCAGTGGTTTGAAATGGTGGCCCATGCATAGTAGGTACAGGCCCTACTGCAGCAGAAGTGAGTTTGTGTCCAGCCTGCTACCTTTACGCAGGCCTTCCCTTCAACAATGCAATAAAGGACATTTACAAACTATAGTGTCATTTCTTTGGATATTTTCAATATATTGTACCATGAACATTTTCCCAATATTTTCCACATAAATTACTATGTTTTTTTTTCTGTTTCTTTTTCACATACTATGTGTTTTTTTCGACCCACCACACTATGACTATTTTTCATATTTTCCAACATACTATACTACTACATACTATACTGTAACTCCTGTCTGTCCGTCAATACTCAGGGCATGGCATATTAATGTCGATAATATACTGACTGACTGTTGAGAAACCTCATTTGACAAAGGGACAAATAGTTAGACAATAACTTAGATTTTATTAACAGTTAATTACAGTGTTAATAAATAAATCAATATAAAATATGCTTAAATTAAGTGCTCCGTCAGTTCAGTCAAATAAATACTTAAATATCAAAAGTCATACTAAAAACTGTTTTTATAGTCTTCATAAAGACTTGGTGTAGCAATGCTCCCTGCCATTATCAAAGGCTTCACACACCACATCCACTATGTCCTTAGTAGATAAGGCGGATAATAAGAGCAACACAGAACAAATAAAACCCGTTTTCATGTTTTTTTCAAAAACAAAATGTTGGTCCTTCTCGTAGTCCACAGATGATTTGATAACCAAGGCTAAAATCAGTCAGTGCTTCCACACAGACATCGAGTGCAATACACGCTTAATAAGCATCAATACAAAAACACAGAGAGAAAATGAACATGTGAGGGAGGTGCAGCCAGGTGTAGCAAGCAACAATGCACCAGTTTGACCCCATCTGGACAAAACAGTTGATGTGCATGCAAACTTCAACCAATGGGTTATTTTAAATCTTCAAACACTTAAAAATCATTGTGAAAGATATGCTTTGTCCAGATGGGTCACTGACTTGGCTGTGTTGGTGATTTAGGCACAGTGTCCGGTCGATCAGAGGCACAGGGAGCAACATGTAACCTTCACTGACCAGCAGACGTTCACCTACAAGAGGCTGCTGTAGCAACTGATAATGCAACCGCTACTGGGCGACTTTCAATACTTAGTATAATGTGTTATAATTTGATTCGAAAACAGCATAATAATAGTTTTAAGCACGTGAACCCATTTTTCTAACCTATCTTTTTGCAGTGTGATATGATTCCCATAGCTTTAATACAATACCATCTAAGTAATGTATTGTACTTACTGTTAATGTCATTATAAGTGACTCAAGTGCTTATTGTTGCTTTAAGTAAAGTTAAAAACAAATCATAATGTGTGTGTTGTTCATGCATAGATTTTATGATTTCTTTTCACTTTAGTTAAAGCAAACACTGACCACTTAACAAAGCATTATAATGCATTATTTAAAGATTTAACTGTATTGGAATATCAGACAATAATATGATATACTGTATGAAGACGTCCAGCAAAAGTCATAAAGATATCCTTAAGCTTAAGCACATTTCGAGAATTACCAATAATTTACCTATTATTTTGAAATGTTAAAATGCGACACAATTGATAAACTTCTACTTCCTGTGTTGAGCGTTCTTAAGACATTTTGATACCAATTAACACCAATTCTTCACGGGAACTCTGTTCATTATAGGTTATGGTTTTAGTTAAAATGTTATAAATTCTTATTTAGTCCTTATAAATAAAAAAGCCCATTATAACACATTATGAGTATGTTAAAAATGCATTACAGACATGGGCGTCATAGAAAGTGCTACCGTAATGGAAACTGGCGTACTAGACGATGGAAACAAACCTATGTATTGGCAGATAAATTGGCACATAATGTAAAATGTTCTGATACATTCTCATACTGAAGTCCAAATATGGTGCTCCATTATCCAGCAGTTACTTTAACAATTACTACACTGTTGCAAAGGGACCACTGCTGTCCTGGCCAAACACCCACAATGCAGCAGCACCGCCCATCATGAACCGTGTGGACGTACACAAACCAAACGGTGCTCTGTGAAACAAGACGGTGTTCCTCCTTTAACAAACACACAGAAATTACAGCGCAAATGTCCATCGCTAGGGTCAGTTAAGTTGCCGTTACCAAAACAGGGACTGTGAAGGTGCTGGAAGGGGCCCGATTCTCATTCTCGATCTGATAGGTCACATCAAGAGGAGGCGGGGCTTCCTCCTGCTGATCGCTCATGGTGATTGGCTCGTCTTCTTCTTCTTCTTCTTCTTCTTCCTGAGAGAGCTCCTGTTCGAAGGATCGTTCTGCCTCCTCTGACAGGCGGGTCTCCTCTTTCTCTTCCTCCCTCTGACACACCACAAAGAGGAAAATCAGCAAATCACAATATTTGGGATCCAGAACTACAGAACCTGACTTCAACATACCTCTTTCTTCATCCTGTAGTACTCATCGATAGCATACTGATATTTGGCCGATGTAATCCCGAAGAGGGAGGCCATCCTCTCTCCCAGGTAGTCACAGGCTAATAAATAAAAAGGATATATTTTCATCTCCAGGTGATAAAATACAAGGTACAAGTTTCCTCAACTAATGATGCAGTATCCTGAACCTTGAAATTATTCATGACTTAAATTCAGATTTTCAATCTCTGGTTTGAAAATTCTGGTTTTCAATCTCTGGTTTGAAAACTCTGGTTTGAAACCCCAAATGCTCTATTGGGCTTTTGGGGTTTCTCTTTCCTGTAGTGTGTTATATAGGTTGTTATTCATGTAAATCAGTGCTTCTCAAAGTGTGGTCCGCGGACCACTGGTGGTCCGTGAGCGCCCCCTAGTGGTTCGTGAGTATATTGGTAAAATTTCACATTTGAAATAAATAAATTTATTTGAGTTTTCCACACTCTCGCGGGAATATCTCCGCAATGGAGCGGGCTTAAATTTCACTTTCGATTGCATGATATAGCCCAGCGCATGCCCGGAGGTTTTTCTTTAGCCCCGGACAAATTCTCCCTCAATAATATAATACATTAACCTTACTTTGGCGGCAGGATTGTAATTTCCCGTGTTCAGTGAATGCAACAGAGGCAAGACACCACCAGACCAATCAGAGAGTTGCATGGAAATAAACGTGTTTTATTGGCTGACAGGTACGTACCTCTCCTCTGTGACAATGTTTAAACTTTAAACTGTCAGCCGCGGACTCTGAGTTTCTAAAGATGGACATAAGACATTTTTTTCATAAAAAAGACAACAATTCTCAAGTGGTGGCTCACACAACAACCCCAGAGCCACCACTTGAGCCAGGTGAACAAGGTATGTAAATGTCAGTAAACTTCCAAGTTATGCGAACATGTAAGCAAAGCATAAATTACAGCTACGTTCACGTTACTTTGAATCGCGGGGGTAAGCTAAACCGTTAGCAAGTAGCTATAGCTAGCCAGATATATTAAATAAACACTTTGTCATACAATCTAAATGTTGTTTTTTAGCGTTACCTGGTGATTTCAAAGAAAGCTCTCTGGGAAATGTTGACTTACTGTTCGACATGAAGCTAGAAGTTACCTTACAGTACACAGTTGATCCTGAGTCTTGTCAGTTAAAGTGTTTCATAGTTAGCTTAGCTAAGCATCAACCTAGCACTGAAATATATGGATATTATGTGACAGTATTTCTGAGAAAAAGTCAGCTGAAATGGTGGCATAGTTGCCCCTGCGTTACGTGTCGACAGCATGTTTGAACGTATTTGCAGCAGTAAATGTGGCTGACAACACCTGAATTTAAATGTGCAACCTCTTTTTGTGACAGATCTTTGCATGAAATTATAATTCTTCTGATTGATATTTCCTATTGACACTGACAGCTAGTTTCTATGTGAACATTATGAGATGGACAGCCAGCTAACAAGCTTTTCATATACAAAGATTTCAGATCAAAGCTAATCCAGTGTGGCTCCTGAAAGGGGGCAAGGGACACTATGCTCCCAAATATTAAGCCTTGACCCCCATCTTAAAATTGATATGATTAAAAAATGATCTGCATTGTCGGAGGCCTTTTTTCCTCATTATCATGTCAAATTGTACAGCTTTCCTTAGTTTTGAATGCAGAAAGATGACTATATTAGAGTATTAAGTGAAAATGACTATATTAAAGTGTTAAGTGAATATATTAAGTGAATTACTCAAACTGCATTTGTATAATGATTCTGTCCTATTGGCAGATAACTACTCTAACAGTGATATCTACAAGAGGTTTCCAATGTAAATTTAACTATTTTCAATTGGTTAGTATTATATTTTGTGACAGTGTGGTGACACTCATTTTAATGAAGACAAATGTGTGTATCTTGAAATTCATTTATTTGACAGAGCTGGAAACTGATTGACTGATTAACATACACAAGGCCTCAACTATTCTTTGGAAGAGCTTTAAAGCCACCCAGGTCCACGGGGACATCACAGAGCAGCTACATGCTGCAATGTCAGTGAGATTCAGAAACATAGGGAGTATCTGAAACGCGTAGCAGCAGTGACAGCCTTTCTTGGGAAGCAAGGGATTGCTTTTAGAGGGCACAACGAAGCAGCAGAGAGTGATAACAAGGGTAATTTTATGGAATGCATGAAGCTTCTTGAAAACTTTGATCCTTTTCTGCAAACATATAAGCCACCTTCATGTGTGACCTATCTCTCACCCTCATCACAGAATGATATGATTGAAAGCACCGCTGACGTTATAATGGCAAGGATAATCTCTGAGATTAAAGAGGCAAAAATGTACTCAGTAATGGTGGATGAAGCAAGGGATAATCACACAGAGCAGCTTGCATTGTGTGTGCGATATGTAAATCCACAAGGCTCAGTGAAAGAAAGTTTCCTTGGACTTTCTCAGCTTGCAGCATTTGATGTTAAAACCATTACTGACACAATAGAGCAGCTACTTGACAAACATGGAATAGGACATCTTAAATGTGTTGCTCAAAGTTATGATGGTGCTGCTGTTATGAGTGGAAAAGTGAGAGGTGTACAAGCTCGATTTAGAGAGAAGCATCCAGAGGCACTTTATGCCTAACAAAGCTAATGCAGGCACACGTTTGTTTGTGACACCAGATGGCGTAATTCTCCGATTGAACAAGGATTTTATACCAACCTTTATAACTCTGTGTTACACACACACGGCACACCTATATGCCGTGAGCTGATTATCGAGCCTTCATTGTAACAGATCTGGTAGGCCACGTTATTCTTTACTTTCTATGTCTTTATATGCAGAAGATATTACTTTTTTCTCCGTCATGTTGTTTCCATAGCAACAACAACTTCCTGTCAACAGCCTAAACTTGCAAAGAAAGTAACAAAAAACAATGTACCGTAATATCCATTTCAGTTTCACAGAACACAAATTGGGTTATTTACATAATATGTTTACAGTACTGTCGATTGTTATTTTATAATATTCTTTGCGGAATTTGGCCGTGTAAAATGTCCTCTTGGGTTGCTGTACAGCCAATGCGTGACGTCATTGGTAAGCGTAACGAACCCCGAACAGATTCTGGTACCTACACCGCCACTGTGGGCTAAGCCCCAAATGTTTCCAGGTCCAGGCGACGCCCCTGGCCCAGCGCAACACCTGCATCACACATGTTGCCACTTGTTTGTACCATTTTCAGGCGATTTGTAATCTGTTCTAGAAAAACTATGTGATTTTGGATATCTGTGGAGTTAGGTGGTCCGCGAGTGTTTTTTTATTGGTTAAGTGGTCCTTGGTATGAAAAACTTTGAGAAACACTGATATAAATGGTCTGCAAAGGCTAAAATCCCAAAGTTCCCTTCAGATTGAGTTTCTCTCCCACACTCTCCCCCCCCTGCCTGAAACGTCCCCATTGGACTCCTTTGTTTACTTCTGTAACATAGTGACATCACTATGTAACACTTGCACTTCTATTGGCTAGGGCTCCAACACATTGTACGTGATAGGTTAAGGGGCGGGACATCTCTAAGTGGTTGACCAATCAAAACAGTAAATATTATCTTGTTACTTGTATCTCTATTTCACACTAAATGGAAAGGCACCATCGTACCTCAAATATATTTGAATCCCCTATTGTCCCTCTACGGCATTATGCTCCAAGAGTGCAGGTCTTATAGTATTTCCCAGAGTCCAGAAAACCAGATCAGGAGATTTCAGTTATCAAGCTCCCTTGCTCTTGAACCAACGACCTCTTTTTATTAGGGAGGCAGACAGTGTCCAACATTTTAAGAGCTTGTTGAAGACTTTCCTTTTTAATAAAGCCTATAGCTAGAGCTGGTTTTAGATTTCCCTTTGTTTGTCCTCCTGAGTCCTACATTGTATGGTATTTTATTTGATTGTTTTTACTGTCTTTTATGTATTTTATCTCATTTTGTTATTATTTCACATTCTATCATGTTTTTAAAAATAATTTTCTTGTAATTTTAACTACATTTTACACTGTCTTCTATGTTTGTGATATTGGGCTATATAAATCGATTTAATCTATTGTAAACTCAGTAATTTCATTTCATATGATCTTGGCTTTAAGATGCAGGAAAACTTGACTTAAAAACATGCATGATATAAACCCATACTCTATAATGACGCAAACCTACCTGAGATGGTTGAGTTGGCAGCTCTCCACATGTGAAACCACACGTATGGACCCCAGGTCAACTTTGACTGCAACATAAACAGGACAAGATTGCTCTCTTATTGCTCTATATGATAATAATTTACAGTAAACACAAATTCCTTGCACACACACATTTCCCTTGTCCTAATTTAGCCCTTTGCACCCACACTCATGAAATCCCCGTCCCCTGCAGCGGTCCTCACCCTCACCGCATCGACCGAGGAGGACAGCAGGTCCTCCCGCTCCGGCTCCTTGTCCTCCCCCTCCTCCTCGTCGGTGCTGTACTCCTCCATGGTCTCCCCGCTGGAGAAGTGGATGATCCTGCGGGGGGCTTTCTCCCTCCGCTGCTGCTCCTCTCTCCGGTCCAGCTCCCCCAGCTCCACACTCTCAAAGCCCCCAACAGGGCTCTGAACCTGGGGGGCAAACATAAAGACAGTGGGTGATGTTAGGGCACTACTTCTTTAGAATATCAGTTAGTTAATGCAGCTAAATTGGGAAAAAACGGTGTTACAGGGCTTGGGATGACTTCATAAAATTAACCTAAATAAATACTTACAATTCCAGAGTTGAAATTTACTTTACAAAGGTTATCCGTTACAATTACTAGTAAAAAAATAAAAATGTAATCAGTAACCTAATATAAGTATCACAATAAAAAAATAATGTGACCTGATTACTAGGGATGCTCCGATCGCCAATTTTGGGGCCGATCGCTGGAATCAGTATCGGCCAATACCGATCCGATCGAGTGGGTGGGGGCTATGGGGATCTTCCATTTAAAGTGATGTTTAAAACTCAGTTAAAGGTGGGGTAGGTAAGTTTGAGAAACCGGCTCGAGATACACTTTTTGTTATATTCCATGGAATGCTCTTAACATCCCGATAGCAATGAATATCTTAAGTGCTTTGACAAAAAATCCATAAAAAAATGTCATCTGTGGAAGCCGTAATACTGTAAAAAGCACGACCAATCATTTTAGCCGGCCCGGCTAAAATAACTGGATGGCCTACCTGCCTGTCAGCCTTCCATGTGTGCACAAACTTATCTCGTGCCCTCATTGGTCATGTGCGCGTTCGTGTGTGTTGGAGGAGGGGCTCTGTAAGGAAGTGGCAGATTTTTTCCGGTTGTGTATTTTCAAATTCTGGCGCACTCGAGCTGGTTTCTCCAAAATTACCTACCCCACCTTTAATGGGGCTCATTCACTGGCGCTTCCACAAACAACAACCAACATAATTATTACATTCAAATGAAGTACATTATTCAAGTTTACATTAACTTTGGATAATAACACGGGAGAAATGAGCGGAAGCACTCTCTTTTCCTCTCTCCCTCTCTCTCTCTCTCTCCTGACAGCCCGTCAGTATCGGTCTCATGCAGCTCGCTGATCCAGTAATGAGTGACCCGACAGTGAAGAATAAACATATTTATAACTAGTTTAGCTTGTTCCAGAGGTAGATAAAATAGCTATGTGTGTTTAGGTCTAACTCTTAGTGTGTGTTTTGCTCCGCTCACCGGTCCGTCACAGCGGGCGGAGCTGCAGGATTTCTGCTTCACACACGTTGCATATCTCTATTTTACTGTCTTTCTCGGACATCTTAAAATACTGCCAGACTGGTGAAGCCATTTTGGCGAGCTTGTTTTGCCGCGCATAGAGAAAAGTGTCATGTATTTTACGTCATGTGATCGGCTCTCCCGATCGGCATTTATAGAGAGCACCGATCGATCGGCAGAGAGTGAATATCGGCCGATATCGATCGGCGGCCGATCGATCGGAGCATCCCTACTGATTACTTTCCAATAACATTTGGTTCGTCAATATCAAATGCAATATCAAATATATAACAGATATAAATAACTAACATAAGAAAATAAATAACTAAACTATAAATAATTAATTGTTTCTCCATAGACTATATATAATATTTAAATAAATAATAATAAAAAAATATATATATATATTAAATAAAGAATAGCCTAAAAAAAAGAAATGTCTAGCTTTTATAAATTGATATTTAAAACATATATATTGGTAGTTGTACTCCTGCTAGTAATCCCCATTTATGATACATGTATACCAGTAATCTGATTACACACATGTTTTTAATGTAGCCTAACTGTAGGGGCACGGTTACCTTTTTTATATCCTGATTACGTTATCCCGTTACATTTAATCCAATGACTCCCCAAGCCTGTCCATTTCTAGTGTGATATCATGAGCAACCAGAGCGACATGACACACCTGACAGATGACAACAAGCTCCAGCACATTCTCAGCCACATTCAGTAAACAAACAACGGTAATGATGCTATTTGCTTATTTTAAAGGATAACGGTATTCACAGACCTGCTGCACCTCCATGTTCTGTCCTATCGACACATTAACGTTGGTGAGATACAGAGATATATCTGCCATTGTCGCCGTCCTCTTTGTATCTCTGGATGCTGCGCCCTCAACGCGACGCCTCTCCTCCGCACCGCTGAACCCGGAAGTGCCGTTCACCCCCGCGGGTCATACGTCATACTTCACCGGTGCGTAACGTCCATAGAGATGTATTGGAATAGCCAAAGAGGCACATTATGTTTATTTTTCATATTATTTTATTTAAACATAATGTTATCTTAGAATAGAATCATATACTAATAAATGAGCCTAATGTTAATGTTTTTCGAAAAAATAATGTTAGCTTAAGTGTTATAGGACTATAAATTAAGAAATGTATTGATGTAATTGTCAGCAAATATTTATTTTAATATGTTAATTATAAAGACGTTTGTGTATACAATTATACACTATATTTATTTGTAGAATAATATCTGAATAGACATTACTTATTGGAATTTGTGTTCTTTTCTATTCTTAAAATAAATACATTTAAGTATTTAAATTTCAATCATAAATATAACACGAAAAAAGTTGTAGGTTTATATTTTAGGATTCTCATATTATTGAAAAATGGTAAATAAGCTTTTAAATAGCGTTTATATTAATATTATATGTTTTTTATTTAAATCAAAATGTGTTTGTGTGTGCGCGCCATAATTGCTAAATAATGTCTGAATATTTGAATATGTATTGTTATATTTCAATAAAGAAAAAGTAGTTCTAGCTGATGTTAAGTTTTGAATGGAAATTAGCCTGGTTAGGCCTACATTTAAATAAATATATATTTCCCTCTCTGTATCGAAAAATAAAAATTATAGATACAAAAAAATACTTTTTATTTGGGCCTGTGGCTATCATAATACAATATAATGAAATGTTTCAATAAATAAAATACATGAAATGATAAAGAAATAAATGTCAAAATACAATCTATGAAATACGCATGCAGGGTTGATTTGAACAATAACAAACATAGTCAGACATAGAAAACGTCTTCTTATTTCACTTTATTTTATTACCATTATGATTTGTGTGTAATATTATTATAGAATATCCTTTTAAGTATACCTTATAATGGCTTACTGGGACATATCAATAGCAACACCTGTAAATGTCTGATATTAAAAAGAAAGGTGATATAATCCGAACATGTCTGTTTTGGGATTTACTATAAAAGACAAAAGCATTACATATTGTATTGAGGCTAACTGAACAGAACATCTTTAAAAATATGTTTAAGAATACAACTATTGGGTATTCTTAAACATATTTTAAGAAATAACCAGGCATCTTGGACGCATGCTAAGCAGTGAGCCGGCCTTTGCTCGAAAGGTCTATCTCTATCATATTGTCATCCATAACATGTAGGCAGAAAGTCAAGAGTTAAAAAACATTGTAGAAAACTGCAGAACAATGTTCTTTAGACCAAGAGTTCAAGCTTAAGGACCGCTTTGACACCCCAATTAGTGATGTTTTTGGACACATGCTGTTATCACAACAGTATAAGTGTTCTTCAACAATAAAACATGGCTTTTAAACAACATTAAAGAGTGTTTCAATTTGGACAAGGTGCATTTTTGAAAGTCGAAATGGATTTAGCAAAAGAAAAATAATATGTTAATAAAATAGTATCTATATCTCAGTATCCTAGTGTGTGCTTGAACTTTGGTTTCCTTTGGTTTACAGTGGTTTACCCAGCACCCGCTGGCACCCAGGAGAGGAGCACTGCTGTGCACGAAAGAGAAGGAATTTCGATGCAACCATTTTTACAGAAAAAACAAATTTTAAGACTAGGGTTGAGCAAAGCTTCTGAACAGGCAGTGCCAAAGCAAGCATGGGAGGGGCTCAATACGATCATGGCCAGGAAAAGGAAAAAAGCATAGTGTGACTGACTACTGCAGACTGTGTTGAATTTGTGAATGATCCAAACATCTACTATTGAAGGTAAAATGTGAAGCCTAAACCAATCCACAGTAGAGTGGTGCAGGAAAGAGTCCTAAAACCAGGAATTTCACCACTTTCTGCTAACTCATCTGAAAGTCATTGTTTTTTAAAGTGATTGTGGTTAGATGCTTGAAACATGATCTGTGGTTTAGGCCCCGTTTACATGGAGACGGTTCGGGTTGTATCTGCTACTTTTTTCTATCGTATAGACGGTTCGTTCACACGATCGAGGCCGTAACGGAACCGCTCAAACCCCTCAAACAATAACGGGTCCCAAGGTGGGTAGATCTGCGGACGGAACGCTCTGGGGCGTCAAACGGCTCCGTGTGTACGCCCTATATGCCATAGCCCCGCCTCTCCCCACCTCTCCTGCTCACCCCCGTGTCACCCGCGTCATTGCTGATGTGTTTCGCCAACAACAAGAACCGAGTGTTTCGAGCCAGGTCCCGGTATCTCGCACCCAGCAGGAGCCTCCAGCTAGATTTGATCGATATGGACATAAACGTGAGTGAAGTCTAATCGGACAGGAGAGAGAGATCAGAGATCAGCTGCTGCTGACGGAGACACGCAGCTCTGCATGATCACCTGCAGCTCCGCCCGCTGTGATGGAGCGATGAGCGGAGCAAAACACACACTTCAAGTTAGATCATCACCCTTAGCTATTTTAATTACCTCTCAAACTACCTAAACTAGTTATAAATATGTTTATTTTTACTCTCATGAGACGGATACTGACGGGCTGTCAAGAGAGGGGGAGGAAAAGAGAGACTCCGTTTATTATTCTTATATTATTATATAGAGTCAATTTGTTTTAAAGCTCAATAAATAACAAAGAAGACCTTTGACCGGCACTTTTCAAATTTTGTCTGGAAGATTTAAACTTTAACGGACATGTTGACCGGCGAAAAAAACAGAAGGGCAACCAGGCAACCATGGCAACCATGCTTGGGGGGTCTTCTTCGCTGCTTTTGGTGTATTTTGTGGCGGAAGAACAGCGCCACTTACAGGCCCGGCATATGTACTACAACGCCTCCAGCGGGTCGAGCGGTCTCGTGTGGACGGACACGTTTATTGAGCCGGTTGCGTGTGAACGGAATACTTTTTTGATATCGAATTCGGTTCATTTTCGTTTCCGTCTCCGTGTAAATGGGGCCTTAGACAAGCGTAAGAGATTTCCTGTTTTGGTTCAATTACATAAATTAAGTCAGTAAATATGCCACTGTTGAATAACCAAAGATTATTTGAGTCATAAAATCGACAGTTGCTGTGGAAGTGTACAAATGTCTAAATTAGACTAAACGTCATCACGACAAACATAAGTCGCCTTTAGCTTAGCGGTGGTGGCATTAAGTCATGAAATTGTGATGTAGTTTGTTTAACATAAGCTTTTTACTTCAGGCGACTGCAGTTACACTACAAAAATATGTAATTGCTGCACTGATCTGCAGTACTTAGAGCATCCATCCTTACATTTCAGGGAAGACATGAATACAAACCTAGCTATTTGCTAATGGATAATGGAATTTGTTGGAAACTATTTTCCGTCAAGGAAAACCACACCACATAATGCCTTCTGATCCTCAGTACCAGTGCACCACAAATCTTTGTATTAGGGCCTCTGCTTTTCTCCATTTAATCCAAGAACAAAAACACCTATTGTATCGATCCGTCTGTCCGTTCATCCCGTCCGTCTATCCATCCAGCCAGCCAGCCATCCATCCAGCCATCCATCCATCTATCTATCTTTTATCCATGGTTCCACACTGCTGTTCACAGAATAAAACATTTAACTACAGTTACCTCACAGCCTCTACATTCAGAGTCTGAGCTACAGGTATAGAAAACAAAAAGTATTGTATCAGGGAGCACTTGTCATTCATTATTCATGATTTAAAATGTGTTATCCTTTATTATTTATGTTACTTGTTTGATGCTACCTGGCCATTTGCACTATTGTGTATTTAATATTGAAAACTTGTGTATTTCTACGGACCCAGGGTCCAAAGTTTCAGTGGGCCTTACATCTTTATTACTGTTCAAGTTACTATTTTTTAAACAGCTATGTTGGAAATGCACATACCTCAGTCAAGATGTCCCAATTATATTTGCTGTATGTTCAGTCTGATATAAAACTATTTATTATTTCTCTGGTATGTGTTTGTGCCCATGGTCTCATAATCTGTCAATTGTTTATCACAGCGGTGGAACATTACTATATTACCTTCTGTAATATAGTTAAGTACAGTTTTGATGTATTTGAGTTGTTCCCGTCATGCTACTAATCTCCCATACATTTTAAGGGAAAATGCTGAAAATTGTGCTTGAAAAGGTTTAGTGAAAACAATATTCCTCTTATTAACTTTAACTTATTTCAATGTTCCTGTAAAAGTAGCCTCTGAAACATTTCACAGTTTTTCACAAATAAACTACAAAACACATTTCTTTAATATTCATTAAACAAGTGAATATTGAGTCAGATTCAATAAGACTCAATCAATGAATTCATAAAACCTACATGTTTGCAGATAAAACAATCCACCGATTTTATTCCCAAGAATGGGATTATATTGAACGATAAATATGTCCGGCATGTCATGTGAGTGTTTTAAATACCTTGGAGTAACACTGGACAATAAACTTAATTTCAACCAACACACCACCGACATCTTCAAAAGGAGCCAACAAAGATTATATGTCATCCGTAAACTCAAAGGACTGTACATGTCCCCCTCTCTTCTCCTACTACTCTTTCAAAGCATTATCCAAACCAACCTTGTGTACTGCTCCTCTTGCTTTTTCAATATGCTCACTGTCACCAACCGGACCAAACTCACACGCATCACCAACACTGCTGCCAGGATAATTGGACTCCCTACACCTAACAACACGGCCATCTCATGCATTGCAACCACAATAGAACTGTCATATGTCAATCATACACCCACTCAATCAGTACCTCACCCCACTATCATCCGGGAGTAGGAACATTGAAATGTAAAAGGGCTCGCTTTGGAGAAAGCTTTATTCCTGCAGCCATTGCTGCCTTACATAACAGGCCTCGCTGAGTGTAACTTCCATGTGTGAAGCTATCTGTTGTTGTCTGTGTTATTGTTGTTCTTGTATCTATTGCACGCATTTCCAATGTGTAAAGTCGTGTCATTTGTA